GTAGGTTGCCGACCCCTGACCTATGCACTTGTCTATATCCCATTAGACTCTCAGATAATTTTCTTGAGCCTCATTTATCCTCAGCACTGTATCTCAGGACAAAACTCATGCTTCAAGAAATTTTTGCTGTCCAAGGCATAACAGAAAATGCTTTCCCACCTCCAAACTGACCCCCAAAGCATTGTATCTTAAGTGAATTATTTCGAAAACAAAGGCAGAAATTCACCTATATGCTTCTCCTACTAGTAAAAAAATATCACCTAAGAGCCTTATTGCATGGCAAAAGTAAGCTGACACACAACAAGAGAGAAGTGGCTTTCTGCATACTTCTCTGTATGCCCTAGAAGCAAGTCTCTTTTCTTCCAGAGGGAGATGGTTATAAAAGTGTGCCTTTTATCATATAGGGAAAATCTATTTCGCAAAAGCTATGCTTTTATGACCATCTCCCTCTGGAAGGGAACAGAAGTGCTATGACTTTATGCAGAGAGGTAAGCAGAAAACTGATTTTCTCTTGCTGCATGTTGGCTTATTTTTGTCATATGAGAAGGCTCATAATAAAGTAAAGCCTAAGAATTTCCTGCTTTCATGATATCCAAAATCTGTTGCCTGAAGAAGTCATCTTATTGAGCATAATACTTGGGCCAGCCCTGAATTTTATTCTCAGTAAGAATGACCTGAAGGGAAAGATTTCTGATTATTGTAATATTTTCCCCAATACAGTTGGCCCTTGTTATCTGTTGGGGTTTGTTTCCAGGACCCCCCATGGATATAAAAATCCAAGGATGTTCAAGTCCCATTAAATACACTGGCATAGTAAATTGGTGTCCCTTATATAAAATGGCAAAATCAAGGGTTGCTATTGAAATTTATACTTTTTCTGAATGCTTTCAAGCAGTGGTTGCTTGAATCCATGGATAAAGAAACCATGAATATACAGGGATGTCTGTATTAAACCATACATATTGAAACACATGTTCTCCTTACACATCTGGGCTACACAATACAAGGCTCAGCAACAAACAGTCCCAAAGGTTAGTCTGATAGTGTAGTATTTCATCCAAATAAGGAGAAAGCCAGACTTTATAATCCCATTAAATGAAGATTCACAACCTATTCTCTCTCTCTCTCTCTCTCTCTGTGGGTCCTTTGAATTAAAGTAGAGGGAAGGGAATACTTAATCCTACCCTACTAATATGTTTCCCCTTAAAACTCTCTATCTCTGCTTTTACCCTATTGGCTTTCAGACTGTCTGGATAAATCCAGTTGTGGGTCCCAAGCTTAGTAGACTCATTATATCAATGGATCTGATGTCAACATTTAGGTAAGTTCTATTCAGTCAATAGGGTTAACAATGGAATTTAGGCTAATGTCTTTATCTTTCTAACATGGGTATGAAACTCTGGAAGAATAAATGTTTGATAGTAGTGCCAAGGGGGCTTTAAGGTCAAATCAGCTGACAATGGAAAAGTTAGCATTCCCTTTCTTTCTGCTCCTTCTAATCTTCATGTTGCCTCAGTTATGGATGCTTTGCAAAAGAGAATGAACTATCATGGTTTCAATAGATGTATCTGTATGTGCCTCTACTATAATATGTTTGGATAGCTATAACCCCACTTGGGACTATGCCCTATTAAATCCAATAAGTCATACTTCCTACTATTGTTATTATGTATTTAAAATGTGTATTATTTGTTAATACTCTGGTACAAAATGAAGAAATGTGTAGAGCACTGATCTTAGATATTTCACTAGTTATTCAACATGTTTATATTCCAAGGAGATTAAGATAGTATATTCACATGGTTTCCCATACGAACAGTGGCCAGACCCAGAGGTTTTGAGTTTCAGCAAGGAGTCTGCTTCATCTGTCCTTAGCCAATGAAACAAAACTAGAAAATAAAGGAAAATGTGAGGATAGCAAGAGGAAAGGAGAGAGAACAAGAAGGGGTTCTAGGATGATGAAGGTGAGCGACACAAAATATGCTTGTAAGTGAAGCTGTAAGGTTGTGCAGCTTTACATATCTTCTGCAGATGCAATTATTGTCAGAACTGACAGCATATATTTTCAACACTATTCATTCATTGACAACTAGATTCAGAAGCTTCTCTTTCCAGGTATTTATGTATGCTTGATGCCTTCTGGTGCTGGAGGATGTGAAGCTTGCCTGATAAACACAGCAATGTAGTCTTCATGTTAAAGAATATAAGTTATAATTAATATATTTAGAAAAGACTTCACTGCACTGAATTGTTAATACATATATTTTAAAAATGTTTTAGCTCACTTCATGTGCCTGAACTTGTTCATTGTTTAATCTAATCTTGTTTATGCTTTAATCTTGTTCTTGCTTTATATTAATGAAAAGTGTATTTCTGGTGCCACCATATCTAATTGTGTTTTTAAAAAGTGATATGTGATAGAATGCATGGAACTAGAATTCAGAGCAATCATGTAGGAAAACATGGATTCTGGAGACACTTTTAAGCTAGAGCTACTTACATGGGAACACAAACTTTCTTCTATGTAATGTCCCTCTTGTCACACAGCTCCTTGTGATTTGTTCCATGAAGATGTCAATAGGCCTACAGTTGAATCCACAAAAATACTCATTCTGTTCTACCATGCATGGAAGTCTGCCTTAAAAATCCTGCTTTGGTTTCATATTGTGATTTTATTGTACATTGCTTGGAGGGGAGGGAACTTTGGGGCAGAAAATCAATATAAATGCTTTAATTAAATAAGACAAAATAAATATTAAAAACTACTGAGATTCGATCATGATTGGTTAATAGAAAATCTGAACTTATTTTTCAAACTATGAACCTACAAATCTTTATTCTAAAATTAAGCATGACATTAACTGATCTGTTACTAAATTGCTTGCAAGATATAGAGGGTATCTTTTGGAAGAGCAGTGAACCAAAACCAGAATTTTTGAATCAACTTTGTTCCACTTCAACAAGCTTCTTACTCTCAAAATTGTCATGGAATATTCATTGA